TCTGGTGAATAGCTAAGGCTCCACCCTTCACTACCTAACAGGTATGCCAAGACCAAAAAATATGGCCCAAAAGAAAGAGATCAAAGTTCCAGAAAAAATAAAATTAAGTGATGAAGAGACAGCCAACCTATCAGATGCACAGTTCAAAATACTGGTAATCAGGATGCTCACAGAAATGGTTGAGTATGATGGCAAATTAAAGGAAAAAGTGAAGGCTATGCAAAGTGAAATAAAGAAAAATATACAGGGAACCAATAATGAAGGGAAAGAGATTGGGACTCAAATCAATGATTTGGAGCAGGAGGAAGAAATAAACATTGAACCACAACAGAATGAAGATACAAGGATTCAAAAAAATGAAGAGAGGCTTAAGAACATCTGGGACCACTTTAAACATTCCAACATCCAAATCAGATGGGTTCCAGAAGGAGAAGAGGAAGAGCAAGAAATTGAGACTTATTTGGAAAAAAAAATAATGAAGGAGAACTTTCCTAATCTGGCAAAGGAAATAGATTTCCAGGAAATCCAGGAAGCTCAGAGTGTCCCAAATAAGTTGGAACCAAGGAAGCACACACAAAAGCACATCATAATTACATTACCCAAGATTAAAGAGGAGAGAATCTTAAAAGCAGCAAGAGAAAAGGAGAGTTTACCTACAAAGGAGTTCCCATAAGACTCTCAGCTGATTTTTCAAAACCAACCTTGCAGGCAAGAAGGGGCTGGAAAGAAGTATTCAAAATCATGAAAGGCAAGGACCTACATTTGAGATTACTGTATCCAGCAAAGATATCAGTTAGAATGGAAAGACAGATAAAGTGCTTCCCAGATAAGGTCAAGCTAAAGGAGTTCATCATCACCAATGCGTTATTGTATGAAATGTTACAGAGACTTATCTAAGAAAAAGATAAAAAATACAAACAGTGAAATGACAACAAACTCATGATTATCAACATCCGAACCTAAAAAAACAAACAAAAAAATGAAAAACACAAATGAACTAAGCAAACACTAGAACAGGAATAGATTCACAGAAATAGAAATCACTTGGAGCATTATCAGTGGGGAGGGGGAGAGGGGAAATGGGGCAAAGGTACAGGGAATAAGCAGCATCAATGGCAGGTACAAAATAGACAGGCAGAAGTTAAGAATAGTATGGGAAATGGAGAAGCCAAAGAACTTATATGTATGGCCCATGGACATGAACTAAGGTAGGGGAATGATGGTGAGAAGGGAGAGGGAGGTAGAGGGTGGAGTGCAATAAAGGGGAGAAAAAAATGGGACAACTCTAATAAAATAATCAGTAATGTATATTAAAAATTGAATATAAAAATAAATACCCAAAAGCAATAAACATTTAGGATTTCAGTTTAAAAAGTGAAAAATAAAAATCATATAATCATATCAATAGATGCAGATAAAAGCCTTTGACAAAATTTAACATTTATGATAAAAACTCTCAGCAAAGTGAGAAAAGAGGGAACATACTTTAATAAATATGCTAGAAGGAATTTACAGTAGGTTAGATGAAACAGAAGATCAAATCCACAATTTGGAAGATAAGATAGTGGAAAACAATCAGAACAACAAAAAGCAAAAATGAGGATGTTTTGAAGGTCCTCTGGAACAAGCACAACAACATCCACATTATGGGGTACCAGAAGGAGAAGACTGAGAGCAAGGGATTCAAAAACTATATGAAGAAATAATGACAGAAAATTTCCCTACCCTGGTGAAGGGGGAAAAAAAAAAAAAACACGCACAAGTTCAGGAAGTGCAGATAGTTCCAAACAAGATGCACCAAAAAATCCCACAGCAAGGCACATCATCATTAAAATGCAAAAGGTTAAAGACAAAGAGAGACTCTTAAAAGCACCAAGAGAAAAGCAATTAGTTATCTACTAGAAAGCTCCAATAAGATTGTCAGCAGATTTCTCAACAGAAACTTTCCAGGCCGGAATGGATTGGCAAGAAACATTCAAAGCGATGCAAAGCAAGGACATACAACGTAGACTACTCTACCCAGCAAGGCTATAATTTAAAATTCAATAAAAAATTAAGAGCTTTCCAAACAAGAAAAAGCTATAGGAGTTCATAAAAAACAAATCAGTATTACAAGAAATGTTAAAGGGTCCTTTTTAAGAAAAAAAGAGAGAAAAGAGAGAGGAACATAAATATAAATAATAAAATGTAAAAAAATACATAACTGTCAGTAATCACTTTAAATGTAAATGGATTAAATGTTCCAAGTTAAAGACTTAGAGTCACTAAATTGATAAGAAAACAAGACCCAAAGATATGCTGTCTACAAGAGACACAGTTCAAATCAAAAGACGCCCACAGACTGATATAAAAGAGATAGAAAAAGATATTTGAAACAAATGGAAACAAAATAAAGCTCATATAGAAATACTTATATAGGACAAAATAGACCTTAAAATACAGACTATATAATAAGAGACAAAGAAGGACATTACATAATGATAACAGGATCAATCCAACAAGAGTAATTAATCTTTGTAAACATTTCTGCACCCAACATGGGAACACCTAAACATATGGAGAAAGCATTAATGGACATAAAAGGAGTGATTACAGGCATAGTAGGGGACTTTAACACCCCATTGACACCAATGTGTAGATCTCCCAGACAAATTGAACAAGGAAACAAGGTCCTTAAATAACGAATGAGAATTTTTTTAAAGATTTTATTTATTTATTTTTAGAGAGGGAAGGGAGGGAGAAAGAGAGAGAAACATCAATGTGCAGTTGCTGGGGGTCATGGGCTGCAACTCAGGCATGTGCCCTGACTAGGAATCGAACCTGTGACACTTTGATTCACAGCCCATGCTCAATCCACTGAGCTATGCCAGCCAGGATGATATTAGAATTTAATTGATATTTTCAGAGCATTTTTTCCCAAAGCCACAGAATACACATTACTTTCAAGTGCACAAGAAATATTTTCTAGGATAGACCACATCATAAGCCGCAAAAATATGTTTTAATACATTTAAGAAAATTGAAATCATATCAAGGATCTTCTTTCACCACAATGGTGTGAAACCAGAAAGTAATTACCAAAAAAAAAAATCCCCTGATAAACATGCAAATACAAGGAGGATAAAAAATGTTACTGAACAATTAATGGGTTAATAATGAGATCAAAGAAAAAAAATAAAAAGATACCTTGAGACAAATGAAAATAACAGCACGATCCAATGAGACAGATGAAAAGGAAAACACAATCCAAATTCTGTGGGACAAGTAAAAGCAGTCCCTAAGAGCCAAATTCATAACATTGCAGATCTACCTCAAGAAACAAGATACATCTCAAATAAACAATTTAAATTTACACCTACAGAAACTATAAAGAGAACAACAACTAAGTCCAAAGTGAGTGGGAGGAAATAATAAGGATTAGAGTAGAAATAAACAAAATATGGTTTAAAAAATAATTCAAGTAATCAGTAAAAATGAGTTTTGGTTCTTTGAAATAATAAACAAGAGTAATTAACCTTTAATTAGACTCATCAAGAAAAAGAGAGAGGATCCAAATAAAATCAGAAATGAAAGAAAAGTAAGAATGGACTTTATTGATCTTAATAATATTTTTTCTGATATATCTCTGGTCAAGGGAAACAAAAGAAAAATGTACAAATTAAACTACACTAAAAATTTAAAAAATGCACAGCAAAGGAACCATTAAAAAAGACAGTCTAATGAGTGGGAAAAGGTATTCACCAATGATACATCCAATAAATGGTCAATATCCAAAATTTATTAAAAACTCATATAACTCAATACCAAAAAACCCACTCCAATTAAAAAGTGGGCAGAGGATCTGAACAGACACTTTTCCAAAGGTGACATACTGATGTCCAGTAGACATGTGAAAAGATGCTCAGTTTCATTAATCATTACAAAAGTGCAAATTAAATTCACAATGAGATGTCACCTCCCACCTGTCAGAATAGCTATCACCAATAAATTAACAAACAATGGGTGCTGGTGAGATTGTGGATAAAAGTAAACCCTCATGCATGGTTGGCAGGAATGCAAGTTTGTGCAGCCACTGTGAAAAACACTATGGAGATTCCTCAAAAATTAGAAATTGAACTGCCTTGTAACCTGATAATTCTACTTCTGGGTATATACTTTGAAAGAATGTATACACCCTGATGTTCATTGCAGCATTATTCACAATAGCCAAGACATAAAAATAACTTAAGTGTCCATCAATAGTTATATGTCTAATCACTATGTTGTACACCTGAAACTAATATAATATGGTATGTCAACTGTAATTGAAAAACAAAAAGATTCTAAAAATATTTCTATAGATTAAAAATATCCAAACTGGTTTCATCAATGCAGAACAATCTGGTAAAGTTTCTTCATGTTATCAAGCATAAGATTGCTGCCTTGTATACTGTTAGCATGCATTACAAGGAATCAACTTATTCTATCTGTGGTTTAAAGAGATAATATAATGTGATGTAATTCACACATGTTTTTCCCATTACTCCTGGATGATGTTCCTCATCCCAACGAAGCTTAAATGGCTCTGTGGTCTTAAATCCTAAAGCATATGATAGGTAAATGCTGTGGGTTAGGAGGATAAAATGCAAATGGATATGTTTCACATATCAAGTGGTATAATGATATACCAGTGCTGGCTTAGTATCATATAAGCATCAAATATTTTCTCTCTCTTTAAAATAAGAGAAAGAAGGTTTTGTCTGATAACAGCGTTTTGTGGAAGTATATGTGGTATATTTTTAGAAATATGGAAAATATGGGTAAGCACATTGAATGAACCAATCTCTGCCTCTCCTAGACTCCTCACCTTTAAAGTAAGAGAATGAATTTGATGTTTTAACCTCTCTGAGAAGCAGCATCCTATAATAGGTCTTCTGTGTCTTTTAAAGTATGCAATGCAAAGAATAAGTCAAACAAAGGCAGAACATTTTCTAACTCTTTTTTCTCTCTTTTCTCTCCAGACTATGTCAAAGAGTCACAATGACCTTGCACAATAACAATACAACTTCGTCTTTGTTTCCAAACATCAGCTCTTTCTGGATACCTGGCTCCCCAGATTCAGGGCTGCCCCCAGGAACAGGCACTTATTTTGGCAGTCACAACAATTCTCGAGCAGCTGGGAATTTCTCTGTTTCAAATGGCACCATCAGTGACCCTCTGGGAGGTCATACCATCTGGCAGGTGGTCTTCATTGCATTCTTAACAGGTATCCTGGCCCTGGTGACCATCATTGGCAATATCTTAGTGATAGTGGCATTTAAAGTCAACAAGCAACTGAAGACAGTCAATAACTACTTCCTCTTAAGCCTTGCCTGTGCTGATCTGATTATTGGGGTCATTTCAATGAATCTGTTTACTACCTACATTATCATGAATCGATGGGCTTTAGGGAACTTGGCCTGTGACCTCTGGCTCTCCATTGACTATGTGGCTAGCAATGCATCAGTTATGAATCTTCTGGTGATTAGCTTTGACAGGTACTTTTCCATTACAAGGCCACTCACATACAGGGCTAAACGAACAACAAAAAGAGCTGGTGTGATGATAGGCCTGGCTTGGGTCATCTCCTTTGTCCTTTGGGCTCCTGCCATCTTGTTCTGGCAGTACTTTGTTGGGAAGAGAACTGTGCCCCCAGGGGAGTGCTTCATTCAGTTCCTTAGTGAGCCCACCATTACCTTTGGCACAGCCATTGCCGCCTTTTATATGCCTGTCACCATTATGACAATTTTATACTGGAGGATCTATAAGGAAACTGAAAAACGTACCAAAGAGCTTGCCGGGCTACAAGCCTCTGGGACAGAAGCAGAGGCAGAAAACTTTGTCCAACCCACAGGCAGTTCTCGAAGTTGCAGCAGCTATGAGCTTCAACAGCAAAGCATCAAACGCTCAGCCAGGAGAAAGTACGGTTGCTGCAACTTCTGGTTCCCAACCAAGAGCTGGAAGCCCAGTGCTGAGCACATAGACCAAGACCACAGCAGCAGTGACAGCTGGAACAACAATGATGCTGCTGCCTCCCTGGAAAACTCTGCGTCCTCTGATGAGGAAGACATTGGCTCAGAGACAAGAGCCATCTACTCCATTGTGCTCAAGCTTCCAGGTCACAGCACCATCCTCAACTCCACCAAATTACCCTCATCTGATAACCTGCAGGTGCCCAATGAAGAGCTTGGGTCAGTAGACTTGGAGAAAAAGGCCAGCAAACTGCAGGCCCAGAGGAGCATGGATGATGGAGGCAGTTTTCAAAAAAGCTTCTCCAAGCTCCCCATCCAGTTAGAGTCAGCCGTGGACTCAGCCAAGACTTCTGACATCAACTCCTCGGTGGGTAAGACCACGGCCACTCTACCTCTGTCCTTCAAGGAAGCCACCCTGGCCAAGAGGTTTGCTCTGAAGACCAGAAGTCAGATCACTAAGCGAAAACGGATGTCACTCATCAAGGAGAAGAAAGCAGCCCAGACCCTCAGCGCCATCTTGCTTGCCTTCATCATCACCTGGACCCCCTACAATATTATGGTTCTGGTGAACACCTTTTGTGACAGCTGTATACCCAAAACCTATTGGAATCTGGGCTACTGGCTTTGCTACATCAACAGCACCGTGAACCCCGTGTGCTATGCCCTGTGTAACAAAACATTCAGAACCACTTTCAAGATGTTGCTGCTATGCCAATGTGACAAAAGGAAGAGGCGCAAACAGCAGTACCAGCAAAGACAGTCAGTGATTTTTCACAAGCGCGTGCCTGAGCAGGACTTGTAGAATGAGGTTTTGTCAATAGCAGTGACCAAATGCACACATCAACCCACAAACCTTAGCAGGGAGTCAGGAGGAATGGGTGATTTCTGGTGATAAAAATGTTCCTATCAGTCAGATGAGAAAGAAGCTGCCTGTTTACTGAACCATTGGATAAAAGGTCCCATTTTGATATAAAAAGTCAAATAGCAATTCAGCAATTCAGCAAAAAAAAAAACAAAACATATTACTGAATATAAAGAAATTTATTCTGAAATAGACTTTAAGTGTTTTTTCTTAAAGGGGAAAATTATTTCATAGCAATTATACACCAAAATTGATCTGCATAGTTCTTTTAATTTCATTTAGTTCAGGAATTTCAGATAAGCATTACTAGCTGCCCTAGATGCCACGTTTTTTACAAGGATCCCAAAAGTGCTGATTCAGATTTTTCTTCAGAACAGGTCAGACTAGTGAATTGGCAGTTCTGAAGTTATTTCATACATTGCTAAGCTGAACGTTCTTGTCCCAATAGAACTTTCTGTCTTCTCTTTGGCGTGTTGTTATACTCTATTTGCGGACTTGATTCTTACTTCTGCAAAGTACTGTTTGGTGCAGTCCAAGTTTTGTACAAATAAAAATCTGTAAGTATATATGTGTGTGTGAGCTCCACCTACACACACACACACACACACACACACACACACACACAATGTATAATATAATGGGAATCACTTAACTGACAAATTATTCCTACAATATAGGCTTTCAGTACTTTGGTAACTGAAGTTCTCTAGGATCCTAACACAACATAAAAGTGAAATAAAACCTGTGTGGTGTTTTCAAAACCAGGGATGTTTTAGACAAACCATCCTGGGAATACTCAGTGGAAAGCAGCCCTGCCTTTCGGCAGGTCTGGGCAGAGTGGACCCCCTTGTGATCAAGGTCAGGCACCATGGCTTGACCAGACTCTGAGAGTAAACTATCATTTTGTTGATATCCTCAACAGAGCTAAATCAAATTGGGCCCTCTGAGCTCAAAAAATAAACCATGTCCGCATGTGTGAATTTGATCGTTCATTTTTGAATGTGTCCAAAGAAAACTTCTGCTACCTAAACTGCTTACAACTCAATAGTAGTGTCATGTTTAAAAGTCATACACAGCAATCCATATAGCAAAGCAAAAAGACATTGTGAGGGGTGACGAAGAAGAACCTGGCGTTTAATTTCTTGCTACCTGGCATCTTCTAAATGAAAAACTTACATCTCTGTTATTTAGCTCTGGCCAGTGCTTCCTGATCTTTATCTTGTGACTTTCACCTAGTAGGTGGAGCTTAGGAAGCTGCATGTCCTCTGAAGAAAGAATCACAGTTTGAAAAGTTATGCTTCAAATTGACTTTTTAAAAGTTTTTTAAAAATTATTTTATCTTGTTCTCCGAATTGACCAAAATGTTAAATGTTCTATTTGGGGGAGGGGAGGGATGCTGCTCTTAGTGTCATTTTTTTGCTGCTATAATTGTTGGGGGTCCCTTCTTTTCCTTTAACTGGGGTTGTGTGGGGGAGGGGGGAGGGGGTGGGGTGGCTGAGGAGCAATCTTACCTTGTACAGGGCCTCCATGATGGCCAGAGTCAGGGTAGAAGCTGCTTTTGTATTCAGTGTGAGCTGGTGTTTACAGATGACTTTGACAACAGTGGACCTGTGCTCAGTGGTGTCTGTGTTTCTAAACTATTTAATTTTGTGTTATGTTTATACAAAGAAATATTTATGCATACTTCACCAAGTGTCTATTTAATGTTGATAAATATTACTCTTCAGTCTTCTGCCATGATACCTTGAAAGTGATTCTTCAAGGTCCACTAGACCAATGAGAAGGGTACACTCAGCTTTCACGTGGCTAAGAAGAAAAATGTCATTCTGTGGGCATCAACAAGTACCTAACTCTTTCTAGGTAATAAAAATTCAACTGTAACTTCAACATAAATGGTTAAAACCACTCTTTAGTTCAACTTGATGAAGACTGAACAAAGCACTCTCCACCATTGTGTTTGAAATCATATGGCAAGGGGAAAAAAAGCAAATTGGTGTAATTGAATGATTCTATTTGGCCCACATTTAACCAAAGAACAAGAAAAACTAGAAACTCTTTTCTAATTGTATAGACTGTAATGTTACCCACTTGTGCAATGTCTAGTGAGCAATTGCATCTATATTTAATTACTCAAGTTGGCCTGACGCTAATAAATGTGTGAATGCTGATTCAAGTCTCCCCGTACTTCAGTAATTTTCATTATTTTCAAAGCTCTGAAACTGCCTCCATGTCAAAGGGCTGTTTCTTGTATTAAAAACAAGGTCAATAAATAGAGAGAATTAAATTTAAGAAATGGAGAAACCCTGAGCTTTGGAAGAACTGCAAAGGTTAATAACAATTCTTAACCATGATTATCTCCTGATCCTTGACCTTTTATGAGGCTAAAAATGGCAGAGAAGATTCAAATCCAAGACTTCATTTCTTCTTTTCTGTTACCGGTTTAATCAGATAATTGTTTTCACATTTCCTGTGGATAAAAGTTGATTTAAAATACTTATTGGCTGTGCTTATAGAAAGGTATGTCCAACTTTTAGATCAATTACAGAAAAAGGAAAATAAGAAAAACCCATTACTTTGCATATGGACAATTTAGAAGTAAAATTAAAGATGTAGTTTTTGTAACCAGACATAGCTTCCCCTGCATTTCTCCAGCGGCTGTCATCAGAAAAGATATGCAGCATTTACATTCTCAAATGGGAAATCACACTATTTTATTCCACATGAATCAAGTTTGAAAATCTTTCATGATAATTTATTTTATTTAAAAGAGCAAAATAATCACACCTAAAATAAACTACACGTGCACATGACCACCCCTCTCAACACACACACACACACACACACACACACACACACACACCTCCATTCTCCCAGTCTGTGTTCCCCGGGTTTTGTCAAATGGACTAGAGAAGTGAGCCCTCTGGGCCTCTACTTCCCTTGGCTCTTCTCTTCTTTCCACCACCTGCCTACGGTCTCTGTGCTAGTTCTGTAAATGACCCTGAATCACTCTTGTCTTAAATCCAGTCTTGACTCTCTATGTTCCATTTAGGTTCACTCTTTCATGTAAAATAGTTATGGAATGTGACAGGAAAAACAAACAAGAAAGCATAAGCATTAGAAGCTGCAGAGGCTAAAGATCTGGAAGGCAGATCCACCTTCCTCGACAATAGTCCTGTGATGCAAATGGCCAAGTTCATTGCTCTGGGGGCTGAGAACCGTTTGTGTACTAATTGTGAAAAGTAGAAGGGAAGAGCTCTGATGCCATAGGGGCTGCATCAGGATGGATGAAGGAAGCCAAGGCTCAGGCCCAGGAAGAAGCATGATGTAGACAATAGTGATACAGATAAGGAGCCTGTGGATCATCTTCAGTGTCCTGAATGTATATGGACACAGATGATTCTCATATGGGACATAACACTGTGAAATTGGGCAGTCCACCACAGCAGCTTCAGAGGACAGCAACACAAGAAAGCACTGAACTTAGAAGGAGGAACCCTGTGTTCTTTGCCCAGTTCAGTCATCTATAGTTATATGACCTCTGTCACACATGTTATCTTCTTTTAAAATCTCTGGTTTGTCTTCTTATGCCTAAATTGAGCAACAACACTAAAGCATCTCCAATTTTCCCTCTTGTAGTAAAGAGGTCAAAATTGAGGCATGATGTTAAATAAGCAACTGCAGTGATGAGTATGTAATGGTATCTCTGGTGAAAACTTGAAATTTTCTCATTTCATCCAGCCATGTGTCAGTTAACAATGAAGTTTCATTCTGGAAAATATGTCATTCAGAGATTTAATTACTATGTGAGCATCACAGAGGCACTTATTCACACCCAGATGGGACAGCCAACTGCACACTTGGACTGCATACAACCTGTTGCTCCTGGGCTGCAAGACTGTGCAGCTGCTACTGTGCTGATTGTTGCATCCAGCAAACTCAAGAATGAATATTGGAGACTTTCAGGGTACCAAAGATGTTTCTTTATTGGCCAAGTTTAACCTGCGCAGGGGCGAACTCTCCAAACGTGCCAGAGGCACACGGCTATTAGGAGCCACAACTGAGAGCCGCGCCCAGCGCTTACAACTACGTCCCTTATATATGGGCAGGTAAGCAAGCGTTATACAGAAGCAGACGTGGCAGTTAGTAATTCAGCTACAAAGACCGCGCGCGGGAATTTCAAACCAAGCATTCTTTCATAAGGCGGGAAAGCTATTTGTTCATTAGCCTAGTAATCTGGCTCCAGTCAGCTAGCCTTCTATCTTCTTACTAAAAAAAACTACAAAGCACTGCTTATCTAGCCTTCCCTGGAGGAGAGCGTCTGCTAGATACAGGGAGCTCTGCTTACTGTACTCTGTCTCCTTTATCATTTCTTATTTTAGCTACAATGTAGTTCTCGCCTATTAAGGTTAAACTTAGTTCTTAATTTCCTTGCATCCAACATTCCCCCGTTTTCTCTTAGGGGTAATCAAACCATTGATTCATCACTTGGAAGGATGGTATAGGGCTGGGACAGTACCATTAGCTTAACTACTTCTATCCTTTCCTTAATGAAATTAAGTAACTTATTTAGTATAAGGGGCCCAAATATAAGGGCTATAACTATTAATAGTAATGGACCTGCTACTGCAGATAGCAGAGTGGTTAGCCAAGGAGATAGTCTAAACATAGAGGCATACCAGTTTGTATCCTCATCTTCTCTTGATCGGTCTTTTAATCTTTTTGTTAAGGTTTTGATATTTTCTTTAATAACTCCAGAGTGGTTAGCATAGAAACAACATTCTTCCCCTAGTGCTGCACACAATCCTCCTTGTTGTAAAAATAGGAGATCTAAGCCTCTCCTATTCTGTAGTGCTACTGCTGCAAGGGAGTCTACTTGTCTCTCTAAGTATATTATTTGATCTTGGAGCAGAGTGATGTCTTTTGAGAACGTTTGGGATAGTTGCCTGAGACTTGTTTCACCTTTCACTAAGGCAGTGGTTCCTACAACAGCTGATCCTGCTATCCCTAAAATGGCTAGGATAGGGATCAACAGTGGGGTTCTTTTTACTCTCTCTGAGGAGTCAGTTAAGAACTCAGGGTTACCTCCATATAGATACACCTGTGGGATTATGTATGCGCTTACACAAAATTCTGGGTTAGTCAGCATGAGACACTTATAGATCCCTTGGGTACATATGAACCATATGCCTTCTGGGGCTTTTAACAATGAGGTTTTCTCAGAAGCCGGCACAAACTCTTGATTCAAACAATAATCTGTATAATTCGAGCCAGGTGAGGTGAGATTTCCTGTAAAGTAGCAAGTACCCTTCCCATGGAACTCTGCTAGGGTTAAGGATCCTTCAGTGAAGCACTCTTCTATTTGGCTCTGCTCTCGATGGGAATCTGTGTCTGTTAAGTTTATCTTGACAAATCCTCCTGTCCCTGTGGAATTCATCCCTAACCCTACATAGAATGGAGGCCGCGGGCTCAGGCACAGCCAACAAGACTCGGTTATCTCTGGCTGAGTTTCATTGAATAGTGGGAATACTTTCTCTACTATTCCTAGGGCATTCGCCCCTTGTCTCGGGTATATTTCATAACCTAGTTCAGCCTTGGTAGGGACTCGGGTTACTTCTTCCCTATGTATGCTTCCTTCTGTTACAGAGTCATTCAAGTTCTCGGGGCTACTGGTGATATCATAGTCAGGGCTGTTAGTGGTCCCAGTCGGAGGGGGCTGTGGTCTAGGCGGTAATCTTCCTTTACCCCTGAGCAGGGGTCGGCCCTGTATGGGCAGTTGCTTAACAGTAAAGAATGTACCCGGGTCAGTTCCCCGTACATAAAGTCTAAGTCCCCACGTTCTTCCTTTCTTCCACTCTAGATCGCTGGGATTGAGCACTGTAATAACCGTTGGGTTGCAATTATCGGCAGCGCAATCTTCATCCCAGCCATTTCCTGGGGTCTTCGTCTTTTCTCGCCTCAGCTGAATATGTCTGTCTTGCCCTCCCCCAGGAGTCCATTCAGTTCTTTCTACTAAGGTTTCACATCCCCAGTTCTTGCAATAGTAGTCTGGCCCTGACCCACAAGTCCTCCGCTTACTGGATGGCGGTTCTGGGCACCCATAGGAAGTAGTATACCACAGAGCCCTATTTAGGGAGCTGGAGTACCTCTCACAGGTGCCAGCATTGGCCCGCGTACCCCCCTTGCAATGGGGCACGTGGGCTGTTCGGCAACAGTCTCATATCTCCCCTGTAGCAAAGTTTATCATCAAAGAATTTTGACAAGTCTGTTTTTAAGGTTACGGGAGCGTTTCCCCAGGTGTGGTTGGAAGCTATTACTATGCCGTCTACAGTTCTTATTAGTACCCATTCCTGCTTCTCTAAGGAGCTAGTGCCCACTACCCCAGCAGCAAGGGTCAGGCATGAGAGAAGGTAAGCTTTAAGGGACAGTCTGGGTCCTTTTTTACTGTCCATGTTTGAGCTCCTCCCTCGGGATTGTCTGCTGGCTTGGTGTGAGAGAGATGTATCCAATAGGGCTTTTCCGCTACCTTGACTGCAGATGGCGTGCTCAGCAATACCTGGTACGGTCCTGTCCATCGTGGCTCAAGATTCCCCTGTCGGTGGTTTCGAACCCATACCCATTGTCCAGGGTCAGGTGGTGTACAGTTCTGGGGCTGGTCGCTGGAGTTGACCACGCCCTGGCCTCGCAGCCGTCTGACCTCACTCCGGATCTCTTGTAGTGCCTGCAAAGACTTGAGGAGGTTATGGTTAGTCATGCTTATCTCTTCTCTTGTTACATGTGGTACCAAAGGAACAGGTTGTCCAAACATGAGTTCATAAGGGGTCCATTTTTCAAAATATGGGGTACATCTGATTCTAAAGAGGGCGAAAGGAAGGAGCTCAGTCCAGTTTTCGCCGGTCTCCTCTCTTAATTTAGTTATGGTTTCTTTTAATGTTCTATTCATTCTTTCTACTTGCCCTGAACTCTGGGGCCTATAGATGCAATGGAGTTTCCAGTTTATTTTCAGCTTAGCTGCTAACTCTTGTGACACCTTGGATACAAAAGCCGGCCCGTTGTCTGAACCTATTGCTAAAGGGATACCGTACCTGGGTATAATTTCTCTTAAGAGCATTTTACAAACTATAGAAGCCGTTTCTCCTCGGGTGGGGAACGCTTCCACCCACCCTGAAAACGTGTCCACTAACACTAATAAGTACTTGTATCCTGACTTCCCTGGAGTCATTTCTGTGAAATCTATTTCCCACAACTCTCCTGGTGCCTTCCCTCGGTATCTCACAAATGGTGGTAATTTCTTATTTGATGCGTTTACCTTTGCACAGGTCTGGCACCTAGTTGTGACTGACCGGATAATGTCTCTGAGATTAGGCCCAAGATAATATTTCTTGACTAGTTGTTCTAACTTATTTTGCCCTAGGTGGGTACTTCTATGAACTTCTTCAACGATTTGTCTTAGGACTCCCCGGGGTAGGTAAAGTCTCGAGTCCGGCAGCTCTATCCATCCCCGCTGATTTTGGATTCCTCTCAATTTCTCTCCCTCTTGTTTTTCTTCAGAGGTGTAACTTGGCTGGGTGGATATTCTTGGTTGAGGTAAAAGGGGAAGTACAGTTTCTAGGGGGCCCAATGCTGCCTGCTTGGCGGCCGAGTCGGCCAAACGATTTCCTCTTTCTGCTGGGGAGTCTCCCTTTTGGTGTCCCTTGCAGTGGATAATAGCAACCTTAGCTGGCAACCATATGGCTTCCAATAGAGCGAGGATTTCATCCTTGTTCTTAATGTCCTTGCCTCCTGCAGTTAGGAGGCCCCGCTCTTTGTATATTGCTCCGTGTATGTGGGCGGTGGCAAAAGCATACCGGCTGTCAGTGTAAATGTTTGCAGTTTTCCCTTCTGCTATCCGCAGTGCCTGGGCGAGTCCAATCAGTTCGGCCCGCTGGGCCGATGTTCCTGCAGGCAGAGCCCTCTGCCATAATACTTCGTCTACAGTGGTCACTGCCGCTCCCGCACGTTTCAGTCCTCTCTCTATAAAACTGCTGCCATCTGTGAACAAGGTCAGGTCGACCTTGCTGTATGGCTGATCCTTCAGGTCTGGGCGGGAACCTGTCACTGTATCGAGTACCTGCTTGCAGTTATGAGTTATTGTGGAGTCTGGCTCAGGCAAGAGGGTAGCTGGGTTGAGCGCCGTAGTTTTCAAGAACTGAACCGACGGCGGATTGAGTAATTGAGCTTGGTAGTGCGTCAACCGAGCATTGGACAACCAACGATCGGGGGGTGTTTTTTAGGACCTGTTCTATGTAATGTTCCCCAATCACTCGGATGTCTTGCCCCCAACGTTAGTTTGCCTGCTTCTTTGACCAAGACAGATGTGGCGGCTAGTGCCCTCAGGCAGGTGGGCCACCCTGATGCTACCGGGTCGAGCTTCTTTGATAAGTAGGCTACCGGTCTCTTCCACGGCCCAAGTTCTTGGCTAAGCACTCCTAGAGCAATTCCTCCTTTCTCAGCTACAAACAGCTGAAAGGGTTTGGCAGGGTCAGGCAAGGCCAGAGCCGGGGCAGACACTAATGCCTCCTTTAGGCTCTGGAATGCTTGTCTTTCTTTATCAGTCCACACAAATGATTCTTCTCTTCCCTGGGTTATCTCATGCAGGGGTCGGGCTAGTTCTGCAAACCCTAAAATCCAGAGCCGACAATATCCTACTGCCCCCAGGAACTCACGTACCTGTCGCTTGGTAGTCGGTTCCGGGATTTGTAGGACCGTCTGGATCCGTCGGCTGGATAGGGTCCTCTGCCCCCCCTGTAAGTCATACCCCAAGTAACTTACAGTTTGTGCTACTATCTGGGCCTTCTTGGCGGAGACTCGGTATCCCATCCGCTCCAGGTCTCGCAGCAAGTCAGCAGTGGCTTTTTCGCATTCTTCTTTGTCCTTGGCAGCTATGAGAATATCATCTACATACTGCAAGGTTACAACCGACAGGGTGTGTGGACCGAAAAGCTTGCAAGTCCCTACTGAGGGCCTCATTAAAAAATGGTGGGGGAATTTTTAAACCCCTGTGGTAGACGAGTCCATGTGAACTGACCTACTAGTCCGTTTTCAGGGTCATTCCACTCGAAGGCAAAAATATCTTGGCTTTGTGGGGCCAAGGGGATGCAGAAGAAAGCGTCCTTTAAGTCGAGGACAGAATAATAGGTGTGTGTTGGCGGCAAGGAGCTCAACAGGGTGTACGGGTTTGGCACAGTAGGGTGAATCGTTTCTACCCTCGCGTTCACCTCCCGCAGGTCCTGCACAGGGCGATAGTCCAGTGTCCCTGGCTTTTGGACTGGCAGCAGGGGAGTATTCCAAGCCGACTGGCACTGGCGGAGTATCCCAGCCTTGAGCAAACGCTGCAAGTGCTGCACAATCCCTTGCTTTGCTCGTGCTGGGACCGGGTATTGCCGTATCCTCACTGGGCTGGCCGTACTCATTAACTGCACCACGACAGGGGGTTGGTGCGCCGCCAACCCCGGCGGATTGGTTTCAGCCCACACGCCAGGTATTGTTGTCAATAGCTCATCGGGGACCCCTACAGTTCCCTCCTTACCTTCCTGGAGGGTAGCCACTAGATATTCTTCAGACAACGGGACTGTTATCTCAAAGTTGACTCCGGCCTCTCGATCTTCTGAAGAAGAGTCATCGGCTTGTCTGAAAGTAATAGTGGCTTGAAGCTTCTGTAAGAGGTCTCTTCCCAGTAACGGATAGGGGCAGTCTGGAATTACTAGGAAAGAGTGTGTTATTGTTCCCTTTCCTAGGTTAGTTACCCGTGCGGTGGCCCAAGGATATGCTTCTGCTTTGCCTGTTGCCCCAATTATTTTTTGTGGTTGCCTTCTGCACCTGCCCTTGTGGCTGCTTCAAAACCGAATAGGTAGCTCCCGTGTCAATCAGGAAATCTATAGGTTTCCCTTCGACATTCAAAGTTACCATGGGCTCTCGGGAGCTGAGTGGGATAGAGCCCCGGCCCCGTCAGTCAAGAGTCTGTAGCAGTACCGGAGGCGCCATCTCGGGTTCTTGTCTCTTTTTCAGCTTTGGACAATCCCGCTTCCAGTGCCCTTCTTCCTTGCAGAAGGCACATTGGTTCCTACCGATGTCTCGCCGGCCTCCCGGTCCCGCTTTTCTACCCTTGTATTCTTTTTTCTTTCCCTTCTCAGGCTGCTGGGCTGCCAATAGAATCTTTGCAACCTCTTTTGCCCTACCTATCTCAGGATCATCTCTATTGACATAAACTTTCTGGGCAATTTCTAATAGCTTACTCCTGTTTTCTCCCTCAAATCCTTCTATTTTCTGCAATTTCTTCCTGATGTCTGGACTGGCCTGTGTGACAAAAGCTATGTTCACTAGTCTCCTGTTTTCCTCTGCCTCCGGGTCCAAAGGTGTATAGACTCGATAAGCCTCCATTAATCTCTCTAGAAATGCAGCTGGTGACTCCTCCCGGCCTTGGATCACTTCACTGACCTTGCTAAAGTTTGTGGGCTTCCTAGCAGCCGCTTTCAGTCCCCTAAGCAGAGCCCGGCGATACTGGAGGAGCGCGTCCCTTCCCCCCGAAGTGTTGGGGTCCCAATTTGGAGGCTGAGAAGGGAGGATGTCCTCAACTTCTCTCCTCCCTGCTAGGGTTTCTCCTTCATTTCCTAAAATGGCCTTGGCTGCCTCCCTAACAATTCTATCTCGTTCTTCAGAAGTGAATAGGGTTTGCAGTATCTGCTGGCAGTCATCCCACGTGGGCTGGTGGGTCCTAAAGATAGTCTCTAAGAGGGAAATCAGCCCCTGAGGCTTCTCAGAAAATGGGGGGTTCTGATGCTTCCAATTATATAAATCACTGGTAGAAAAAGGAACATAAATCAAGCGTGGAGGGGCCCGTGCCGGTGCATCCGGTGCTGGCGGCGCCTCTCGCAGGGGCAAAATGGCCGCACCATCCCCTCCCGATGCGTAGGGGGTTCCTCCTCTCGTATGGGGTGGGCTCAGAAGTCCCCCGGCGCCTCCGGCAGCCGCACTCCCACCTACCATAGGGGCAGGTCCGATTTGACTGGAAGAATCGGGTAGACTCTTAGGGGGATAAGGGGGAGGCGCGTCTGCCGGATCTAGAGAGTCCTCTAGTGGTCCCGGCAAGACTGGATACAGTCGGGACCTCCCTGGTTTAGGCCCGGGGTTAAGGCCTGCCTTCCCTCTACCACCAGGGGTGGTCACACATACCGCCCTTTTCCCCTTCTGGTTCCCCCTTCAAACACTTCTTTATATAACCCGGCCGTTCCGTTGCTATGTCTACCCATACATCTATGTATACAAATTGGTCGGGATGTGGAATCCTGTAGACAGTTGCGCGCACTGCAAAAAGAATTGGTAAATCAAAAGTGCCTTCGGTTGGCCACCCCACATCGAAAGTCGGCCATTCAAGTTGGCTGAGTGTACGCAGGAATTCCGAATCGGGTGGAAGACCGCCATATCCACTAGCTCTACGCTGGAAATCTGAAAAATTCCTCAACAGGCAGTCCAATGGGGAGCCTGGTACTGACTCCTGCTGGCCCATTCTGATGAGGTCCGGGAGATAGGAGAAGAGACAAACAATACAAACCAACAAGGCGACAGACAAGGCAATTTCCCTCACACACGAATTAGGCATGTAATTCAGAAGTCAACTTGTGACACAACGCGCAGACAAAACACAGCGCAGACAAAACAAGACACAGAACACAGTTGCTCGCCCGCCTGGCCTGCCCTCTCGCGAGGTGATGTCGATCTTGGCTAAGGCTGCCCGATCAGAGTCCGGGTTAGACTGCCAGCCGTTATGCCATATGACCTGACACAGGAACCGCAGGTTAGGGCCCTCTCATGCCCCGTAGGTTTCCCCGTGGGGCTACAAACACAGTCACTCACGAGCTCGTTCACTCACACACTCAAATATTTCAATCGCAGCGCAGCGCAGCGCAAAAGTTCCTTCTTTAATGTGACCGGTCACGGAACTTTCTTTCCCAGTAACTGAAAAACTTCCAGGCGGCGTCCCGCCTCTTGGAAGCCCCTGGGTGGACTGCCGGCAGCGTCCCACCTACCACCACAGGGTAGTTTCCCTACTCCGGAGCCAAAACCGGGAACAGATAGAGGATCCTCACTACTCACCCGGCTCGAGCCGTCTCTCCAGTCTCCGAACTGTGATCTCGCTGGGGCCTCCAAATGTTGCATCCAGCAAACTCAAGAATGAATATTGGAGACTTTCAGGGTACCAAAGATGTTTCTTTATTGGCCAAGTTTAACCTGCGCAGGGGCGAACTCTCCAAACGTGCCAGAGGCACACGGCTATTAGGAGCCACAACTGAGAGCCGCGCCCAGCGCTTACAACTACGTCCTTATATATGGGCAGGTAAGCAAGCGTTATACAGAAGCAGACGTGGCAGTTAGTAATTCACATACAAAGACCGCGCAGGGAATTTCAAACCAAGCATTCTTTCATAAGGCGGGAAAGCTGTTTGTTCATTAGCCTAGTAATCTGGCTCCAGTCAGCTACCCTTCTATCTTCTTACTAAAAAAAAACTACAAAGCACTGCTTATCTAGCCTTCCCTGGAGGAGAGCGTCTGCTAGATACAGGGAGCTCTGCTTACTGTACTCTGTCTCCTTTATCATTTCTTATTTTAGCTACAATGTAGTTCTCGCCTATTAAGGTTAAACTTAGTTCTTAATTTCCTTGCATCCAACACTGATCACTGTAGGTAATTATAGCACAATGGTGTTTGTTTATCTAAGTATATCTAAACATATAAAAGGTACAGTGGACAATGTATTGGGATGTCATCTGTGTACTCAAAATTGAGGTGCTGGGAGTGAGAGGGAATTTGTTGTCAAGTCCCACAGATAATGCTCCCATCAGAGAAAAAAAATTCCCAGGATCACAAATGCTTCCATTTGTCAGAGGAACTTCAGCTCCATTATAACTTTATGGGACTGTCATTGTAAATGTAGTCCATCGTCCACATTGCTATATGGTGTGTGATTCTATCTCCATCAGATTAATCTACTTATTACATTTAAATACAATAAAATCTAAGGAGCTATCATGTCTTGTGAGTAAACTTGGAACTGTATTGTTTAAAATACCGCTTTAGCCCTGGCCAGCCAGTTCAGGTGGTTGGAGTGTTGTCTTGTGTTCTAAAAGACTGAGAGTTCAATGTCAGGTCAGGGTACATAGAGAAGGCAACCAACAGATGTTTCTCTCTCACATAGCTCTTTCTCTCTTTCTCCCTTCCTCTCTCTCTAATATTGGTGAACATGTCCTCAGGTAACAAAGAAATGAGAAATAAAATAATAAATTAAATTAAATTAAAAATTACCACTTCAGTCCAGGGCCATCTGAGGACCAACAACCTAACAAATAGTCACTGGGTAGTTGGTGTTTGTTTTGGTTTTGCAATCTTCTTTCCAATAATGGAACTGAAACCACAGAATGCAGCACCCAGTACAGTTATCCTTTTACAATCTAACATCCCCCCTCCCTATAGTGTTTTTCTCAAATGTAATGTGTATCAAACATGGTTTGGTCAATAGTGTCAGCTCCAGACTGTAATAGGTTCAAGGGCAATTTTACTACTTTCCTTCATAGATTTAAGTCAAGCTCTCTCTTCTTGTATTTTCACGACACTGTTTTGTAGTTATTAAGCTTATTCCATGATTAATGCTGTGTAAGTAATTACTCCAAACCTGAGAGATTGGTTTCAGAGACAAGAATCTTCCTGCTCTTCAGAACTAGAGAATTCCAGTTTTCTTTTTCTGGCTTTAGTGTTACTTCCTGAGAATGGAGCATCATGTTGACATAATAAAAATGAATATGATCAAATTCATAGAGTAATTATGCTAAACCTAAGTTTGTAACTAACTGAACCTAAGTTTGTAACTAACTGCATGATGCTTTATTAACTGGCTCCAAAATGGGAAAATCTTAGCATTATTGTTAATTGGACATACAGTATATTTACAGCATCATGCATGAAGATGGACAGTGCACTTGGACATATGCAAGTGGACACACAAGAACGTTAGGCCTATGGTCACTCCAGTAAGAACCACAGAGATTTAGCATAGGCTTCTGACTCTACCACTCTGACAACCTTGTCTTGTTTCTCATCTCAGTGGAAAAGATTTTAGTTTTTGCCCATTGAATATGATCTTGGCTGCAGGTCTCTCATATATGGCCTTTATTATGTTGAGGAATGCTCCCTCTATTCCCACTTTGCTGAATGTTTTTATCATAAATGGGTGCTATACCTTATCAACTGTATTTTCTGCATTTATCGATATGATCATGTGATTTTTGTCTTTGCTTTTGTTTATGTGATGTATTACATTTACTGGTTTGCAAATATTGAACCATCTTTGCATCCCTGCGATGAATCCCACTTGGTCCTGGTGTACTATCATTTTAATGTATTGTTGGAGGCGGTTTGCCAATATTTTATTGAGGATTTTAGTGTTTATGTTCATCAGCGATATTGGCCTGAAGTTTTCTTTCTCTGTTGTGTCTTTATCTGGTTTTGGGATTAGGATGATGCTGGCCTCATAAAATGAGTTTGAGAGTCTTCCAAAATTTTGGATTTTTTTGAAGTCTGTGAAGAATAGCAGTTAGCTCTTCCTTAAATGCTTTGTAGAATTCTCCTGTGAAACCATCTGGTCCAGGGCTTTCATGTGTCGGGATTTTTTTTTTTTATTATTACTGCTTCAATTTCATTTGTTGTTATTGGTCTTTTGAGGCTTTCTGCTTCTTCATTGAGTTTTGGAAGACTGTATTTTTCTAGAAATTTGTCTATTTCACCTACATTTTCAAATTTCTTGGCACACAGTTCTTCATAGTAATTTCTTACAATCCTTTGTATTTCTGTGGTATCAGTTGTAATCTGTCCTCTTTCATTTCTGATTGTGTTTATTTGGGTCTTCTCTCTTTTTTCCTTGATGAGTCTGCTTAAAGGCTTGTCAATTTTGCTTATCTTTTCAAAGAACCAGCTCCTGGGTTCACTGATCTTTAGAATTGTGCTTTTAGTCTCTATGTCATTTACTTCTGCTCTGGTCTTGGTTATTTCCTTCCTTCTACTTACTCTGGGCTGTCTTTGTTGTTGTTCCCTGAGTTCTTGTAGACGTAGGGTTAGGTTGAAATGTTTCTATCTTTTTTTAGGTATGCCTGTATCACTATGAACTTCCCTCTCAGGACTGCCTTAGCTGTGTCTCATAAATTTTGGGTTGTGATGAGTTCATTTTCATTTGTTTCCAGAAACCTTTTGATTTCTTTCCTAATTTCATTCTTGACCCATTCTTTGTTTAATAGTATGCTATTTAATCTCCATGATTTTGAGTGTTTGGGGTTTTTTCCCTTGGGGTTGGTTTCTAGTTCTAGGCCCTTGTGGTCTGAGAAAATGCTTGATATGATTTCAATTTTCTTGAATTTGTTGAGGCTTGTTTTGTGTCCTATGATGTGGTCTACCTTTGAAAATGTTCCATGTACATTTGAAAAAAATGTGTATTTAGCTTCTTTGGGATGGAGGGCTCTGTATATATCAGTTAAGTCCATTTCATCTAGGGCATTGTTCAATGTGTCAATATCTTTGTTGATATTTTGTTTGGAAGATCTGTCCATTTTTGACAATGGAGTGTTAAAATCCCCCACTATAATTGTGTTGCTGTCAATATCTTTCTTGAAGTCCTCTAAGATTTTCTTTATGTATTTGGGTGCTCCTATGTTGAGTGCATATATATTTACAATGTTTACGTCTTCTTGGTGCATTCTTCCCTTGAGTATTATGAAGTGACCTTCTGGGTCTCTCTTTATGGCCCTTTTTTGGAAGTCTATTTTGTCTGATATGAGTTTTGCTATCCCGGCTTATTTTCCTGTCCATTTGCTTGTAAAATTTGTTTCCAGCCCTTCACTTTCAGCCTGTGTAGGTCTTTTGTTCTGAGGTGGGTCTCTTGGAGGCAGCACATGTGTGGGTCATGCTTTCTTATCCATTCAGCTATTCTTTACTCTCACCTTTCC